AGATATAATATACACAAGAAACTATGGCTAATGTTTGAAGATGGATACATAAAAAACCTTAGAAAATTTACAGAAAAACTGGGAAAGAATACACAATTAGAACCAAAAGAAGGCCAAGTTGTATTACTAAAAAGACAAACATTAAAAGGAGATTCACCCTTCGAAAGATTGAAATGGAAATTAGCTAGGATTTTAAAAATTTATAGAAGTCCACGAGACAACGTAATAAGAGCAGTAGACATAATCACTGGAACACCAACTAAAAGCCCACAAGATGAGTCCCTCCCTGTAATTTTGACAAATCAGTCAATAAGAAACTTAATACCATTAGAAATGGATGTACCTCAACAAGACAAATTAAAAGGAGAACATCCAACCACCCTTCCAATACTGGTGAACTATATAAACACAAAATCGTTTACAAAATAAAACATATTTTCAAAGTGAAAAAGAGTTCATTCCGGTGCAAAATGCATCATACAAAATTTTGAACATAACAAATTCGATCATAATACCCGCTCGAAGTCACAAAAACAAAGTTCTCAAACAATCATCACGTCATCTTAAAAAGATCATCATCATGAATCAAAATAGTTCACAACGTTTCAACAAAAATGGAGATACATCGTTCAAACAAAAAATGCAAAAAATTCTTTCGTTTTACAAAAAATGAGACACATCAGCAGATTGGTAACATAAACGGTAAGCTCAAAAAAGAAAAGTATCAAACGAAACCATCAGTTACTGATCTCACAACATCTTTTTCCAAGATCCATCTCAGACCTTGCTTACCAACAACATAAAAACCAGTTGGGGTTTTGAAAATCACCCAGCCCCTATAAGAACAATTTTTAATGATGACCATCGATGTAGCAGAGGCCTTTTCACCACGTTGATCAAAGTCATATACCCTGTGACACAAGATGTCCATCAAAAAGCATTCGTCGGCAAGAAACCGGGGGGACGGAACCAGAAATCTGAAAATATATCAAAAGAAAAGTACTGTAAAATCAAAAGTGAAATATTTTTTTTTTCAAAATACAAACCTGAACACATCCCCCTGTTCACCATGCAACTCCTTTGAGACAGAAAAACTTTCCATCCCATTGCAAAAGACTGATGGACCATTAGAACCACAGTGAATATGCTCCTCAAAAGGAGACTTCCCAGGAATAATATTCCCATCTATTCCCCAAGAAGCAGCTTTACCCGCACAAAGATGGACAGGATAATCAGTACATCCCAACCAGGTTAACCCGATTCGAATGCAATTACTGTGATCCCTGGCGAAAGCCAACAGACCTCTTGAAGAGATATGACCAAAGCCTACCATATCACCATGGCACATACTAAATCGAGACAAATAAAGGATCGGAGATACAACCGACCTCCACCCCACATGGTCAGGATCACTTTTGTTCAAATACCCGATCAAAGACCTCAATCTTAAATATAAAAACTTTTGATAAATCCTGCCGGCCTCCATACGTTCATCAGGACCAACATAATGTTCAGCCCTAACTGGCGTTAAAGGTAACACAGGAACACCATTCCAATCACAAACAAGACCAATTGGGCACTCCTTTCTCTTCTTTATGCAGGGGGAGATGCCCCCATAGCAAAAACACAACAATTAAAAGCCTCAGATAACTCACTGAGAAAATCCTCATAAGCTTTAAAAAAGTCATCAAAACAATTAAATTGGCAATAACGATCCGAACGAATTAGTTGCTTGATGTCTTTAGTCCCTCCCCTAACAAACACCCCATCGAAAATAAACGACTCGTCGAGCTTTGGATCCGAATAAACCCGATTCCGTAGGTTGGTAGATGACATTGATCCATCCCCACAGACCACGGACCAGCCGGACATAGACCACTGAAAAATATCAGTAATATTAGCAAATATATCAAACAATGAGCATTATCAAAAATACCTGGTAAATGTCGACATCTAAATCCTCAACCAAATGTGAAAAATTTGGAACAGCACGCTCAGTCCGTTGATCAGCACGAATACGAGTACGAAAAGTAAATTCCTTTCCACGCAAATGAAAAGAACTACATAACGACGTTGCAATAATAAGAATAGCCTTCCTCTTTGTATTTTTTCTCGATTCTGTAGTAAAATCTAACTTTGCAGTACTAAAGTCGAAATCAGCTACCAGAGTTCCTGGTACTGGCAACGGAACCTTAACTTGGTTTGACTTCAGTTCCTTGAAAACAGCATCAGTTAACTTCATCGATTTCCCAACATTATTGAAATATGTCGGAGAGTTATCAGGCATGAATTTTGATACTTCAAAGATTGAACTCCAATGACCTAGTAAAGCAAAATAATTAAGGAAAGATCATCATTTAATAAGTTTCCAAAGAACATACGAAACGGGCGGTTGCCTTCATTTAAGTCCAGTCCCAAATTAAATTGAAGAATCTCCTCGTCTCCAAGACCAGCGATTGCCCCAGTTTGACCTTTTGAAGTACCAGCCATCTCATCAACAATGGCAGGAACACAAGGAATTCTCTCCACCTGTTCACTTGGCCCCAAATCCACTACGGATATATCATAATAAGTTGAAAATAAAACTAAAAATTCTAAAAATAAAAAAAAGTAAAAAAAAAAGGGGATCCACACCTAAATCAGAAGATTCAGAAATAACTTCCAAATGTTCGTTTGAAGATCCTTCAGATATCTCAGCTCCTTTCTCTGATAAAGGTAAGTCCGCTGGCGTGGGAATGGTCAAATGTCCGCACCAAATCTTCTTTAAGGATTCAAATCCACCGATGTTCAAAGTAACGCCCCCGATCCTTGCTTCACAATGATCGTCTGATAAATTATCAAAAAAAAATTTTTATCAAAAGGTCCTTTACAAAATAACCTTTACAACTCACCAAAAGTTCGTAGATAATCACCATCAAGAATATTCAAGAAAAAATTCCGCTCATTCGAAAAGGATCGCAAAAAAGTCTCGCGATCACAAAAATTGATAATTTTAAAAGAATCATTCAACTTAGTCAGAGCTGTGTTGCATGCGAGTTCAGATTGATGTAATACTTGGCGACGAGCACTAAGATCCACATTTAAATCATGCTCCGAACGACTCAATAACGCATGCTCTTCCTCCACTAAAGCTAAACGAGCTCTTTTCCTACTAATCGAAACGCGTGCCCCCTCAACAGTCTTCTCGTATAGAAAGTCACTTTTCACAACACTACACAGTTCCACTAGGCGTTTCCAAGTCCTCAGATCAGCAGTCTCCAAAGTTTTTACAAGTTCCAAAGCCAGCAAAGGAAACTTGATGGTCCGTTCCTCCAGTTTCGGTTGCTCCTGACGTTCAGAGATGTACAGCTCACCTAATAACAGATTCACATCTGAAATGGGTATCGAATCAAATAAATCACAAATCAAAAGAAATAATCAAAAGAATACAAAAAAACAAAAAAAATGATGAGAATGACAAAAAATATGATATGAAAATAAGATAAGGAAAATAGAAATGAAACAAGCTTGAAATTGCATAATTGAGCTCAATCAAAAAAAAAATTCGAACGAAATATTTCATTTGAATGTGAAAGAGTTACAGGCCAGAGTTGAAAATACACTCGCAAGAAAAATAGAGTTGAAATTACACTCGCCAAAAAGAAAACATGAGAGTTGAAATTACACTCAGCAAAAAGAAAGATATAAGAAAGAAAAAAGAAGAGACGACAAACCTTCATCAGGAACATCACCAAGAAGATCCAAAGAAGACGAACCGGTAGCCACATCCATCAGTCCTTCATCGAGCCCAGCCATCGCGGAAAAAACTCAAGAAACTTCAAGGAAGACTCAGAAGAACACTTCGGCAAGAAAAGATTGTGAAATTGGCGAAAAGTTCTATGAGAAACTCGCGAAAATAAAAAATTAGCAAAATCGGACAAGACACGCGAATCTATCGATCAAAATAAACGCGAAGAAACCTGTGAATGTGATATATTGAATGAAACGTTTGAATGAAGCATAAAAATTATTTGAATTCAGAAACTGATCACTTCCGAATTCAAATAAAAGCACGTATCAAAAGACAAGGGACCCTCTCACAGACCCTCTGACGTAGAAACTTTCAAAATGAAGCTAAGACGTCTGTCTTGGCGCCAAGACGTCTTCGATTACCGATTTGTTGGCCAATCCCAGGCCTTCGAGATTTCCCTGCCCTTGATCAAACCCCCTTGATCAAGAGCAGGAAAAGAAATCAATAAATACCCCTTGCTTTCATCAAAAGCACACAGTTCTCGTTTTGTTGCCGCCGCAGCGTGATCAGAGGTTTTTTGAGAGGTCTTTTTCTGAAAACATCTTGTTTGAAAATCATCTAAAATCTGTGTTGTCTGTTTTGTTCACTATCTAAATTTTGGGACTTCTCAAAATATACTTTAACTTTTAAATAGGGATTCCACCGTGAATTCCCGGCCCCTGTCCCGGGCTGATTCTGTGTTTTTCTTGAAATCATTTTATCAACTAATCTCTTTCTTTACAGCCTAGCTTTTTCTTGTTGTAGTGACTTCAGTCACCAACATAAGGTATGCATTAACTAAAATCCCGAGTAGGCGTTACATGGAGAGGTTTGAAATGCTTAGCATTTTTGGCTAGAAATGCGTATAAAACGCATTTTGAAACGCCCAAATTATTTGCTGGGATGTATCCAAAATATATAGTCCATCAAAAATTACAATATCAAAACTCACATACGGGTAATCATGAACATACATACAATTTCAAGCATGAGGAAGAAAGAGAGGAAATCTTGAATGGATTTCAAATTAGACTTATGATTAAATTCCCCCATGCATGAATACCTACACAACGCCTGAATGCTTTTGCTATAAATCTGTGATCATCAAAAAGCAGTATATTCTGAAATAATTATATTCACTTCCTGTAGATACTGTATTCAGCAGATAAATATTCTAATTTTTATTCTTGATATTTTCCTAGCTCTTATTTTTGATTCGACTGAACACTCATCATCATTCAAACGAGTATCTAAATATTGCATACAAAGGGTTTATGGCGACCTATAAAATCGAATGTGTGTCATATTGAGCTATTTGCAGAAAATATTTTCCGAAAAAATTGGCAACGGAAAGAGTAGGCGTAATAACAAACATTTTTGCATAATCAACTTTCTCCGGGATATGTAAGTAGACATTTTTTGGTGAAAAGCTTGAATAGTTTGTTTTTATTCACTCTGAGCAAATATTCTAGGAAATTTGACTTAGCGCCATCCTGTCTTTGTGATGATTTTCTGTCATTTTCGTTTATATTCAGTTGAAAAATGTATTTCTGAGCAATTTGGGGAAATTCTGAATTGATCGTATGCATACGCTCAAGTGCATCTGAATTTTACTGCTGAAGGAAGGAAACAAAAATTTGAATAATTCGACTGTTTGTCTTTTTCCACAGATTTGTAATTGATAAATTTTACAATCCATTTTTGCTTTCTATAACACACCTCACGCGTTATAAAGCACTTTTCTCACGAACAGATTGAGTTACTTGTTCAAAGACCTTCTTTTCTTTTCTTCAATTTTTGAACGCGATTTTTTTTTTTGCTGAAGTTCTGTCGTCTCCGGAAGATTTTCTTTTAACTGCTGTTCAGCCGTTACTATATCCAAAGCGCGTTTTTTGAACCTTTCAGTTTAGCTTCCTGTATATTTCATTTAAAACTGATGGAACTTTTAGAAGTGGAGGGGATCTACGGTTGGAAAGTGCTTTGGAATATTATGGTCTCAAAAAGGAACCCAGGACTGGAAAAGATAAATGACGCCAGAGATTTTTCTCTTGATCTTCCCTCGCCCAATAAAGCCGGCACGCGACCATTACGTTACTCCCTTTGTTCGCAGATAGCGCTGAAGAGACCCCGAATGAAGGGGAAGCAAATAACGGCGGTTAATAATCATAAACGAGGAAATCTGGGATGGGTTCCTTTTTTTTTACTGCTTTATTCAGGCATTGAGTTTAATGAGCGGAAGGAAAAGCTTTTTGTTGGTGAAGGGAGAAAAGGTGGTGTGTGTGCTGTGAATGAGGTTAGTAACGAGGACCGCGAGACTTGAATGCCATGAGATTTCGGTTATTTCATTTATTTGGAAGGCTGCAAAAATTCGACATCAGACTAAACTGAAATATTCTAAAATACTTATTTTTATATGCTAGATTATCCCCTTTTTGTGTCAGATACAAGGCTTAAAGAAAGTACTGTATGCTTACTTGCTGTGAAGCCGAATTCAGGCATGTTAATAAACTTTGAAAAAACAAGCCATTCTTTTTCTGAAGCACAGAAATGAGAAAAAACCTAGTCTGATCAGCAGACCCAAAGTTGGGAAATTATTTTATGCAAAGAAGTTTTTCTGGAAGAAAAAAGAATAAAGTATCCACTGGGAGGCATTTTTTCCACATTCCTTCTCCAGGATTGGCATTGACTGATGTGAAAACCATCAGTTCTCATTTTCTCAGATTTTTCCAGAGTTATTACTCAACCAAGGCTGTTTTTTGGTGACCTTTGATCAAATTGAAAAGTGCCTATGTGCACAAATACCTCAGCTCCATCTGGGATGGAAATGACCCCACTGCTGTCTATGTATAACCTTGATTTTGATGACAGAAGTGTGTGGGTTGTTTTTTATTTCATATCTTTGTTTGTTGTCTTGTCTTTTCTCAATTCTTGCATTGTTCCTTTCTCTGATACACTTTTGAGTGTTCTCATTATTTCTTATTCTGGTATTTATTTTTTGAGGGTTTCCTTTGGCAGCTGTGGTAAACACACAAACCATCATGGAAATCTCAAGCACAAATATTGGGTTCAATTTGACCATGCAGTAAGATGACAGGTTTCTGAATATTCAAACATAATTTTGTCATTAAATTTCATCAATCTTGAGGCTTTTGAACAACTTGAACTCAGCTCCTACACAATTGGACCATGAAAGAAAATTAATGAATGCAACAGTTTACAAAAGTATTACTGATGGACAAATCATTCACAAACCTTCATTGATGTTGGTCATTGGTGTGTACAACAGTGATGTCCAGTGCTACTTTTTAGTTTGCTTCTGTGATTTTAAAAAACAATAGAAATCATAATCAAACTTTTGAAAACAATACATATTGGAAAAATAGTAGAGTGGTGTCAGAATTTCATTTTCTAAATTAGCTTAACTTGTCTTTCTAATGAGTAACAATAAACATTTCTTTTAAGCCTGTGAACTAAACTCAAGTTTGGTTCTCAGGCTCAGGAAGGGCATTCCTCAAAGAAAACTCTTCTTCCTTGAAGTTGTCCTTCATAATAACTTAAGCTGTCAAAGCTTTCCTGATTCACTTCTGTTGCCCATTTTTGCCACTTGCAGTAGTAATTTCATGCTGAGCAGATCTCTGGAGAAGAGCCAAGCAAATTGCTTTTGTGGTTTGAATTCAAAGAGTGAAGAAATACACCAACGGAATACCAGGACTTATCAAGTCCCAGCCAAAGCCTGGCTGATTGCACATTTTTATATAATTTGTATTCTTCAAATGCAAGCCTCTGCAATTTTTTTGCTTGATCTTTTGAAATCAATGTAGTGAGGTGGACTTTTTCTTCACAATATTTATACCAGAAAGTTCAAATACTTCACTGCATAATTATTCTATATTTGGATTGGTCCAGGAGAGGAGTAATTGATTCCTACTGCATAAAGAAAAGGGAAATTGAAGAGAATCTCTATATAGGTATTGATTTTTTGTTAATTTTTGTTCCATGTATCTTCCAAGCTGTCATTTTTTATCTTTGAAATATTCCAGCTACAGAATTTTCAGCAAGCATTTGGGATCAATTGTTCCAAGTGTAATACAGGTAGTACCTTGCAATCCAATCTCTCACAATTCCACCATCCTGCAATTCAATGGTCAAATTTACTTGGAGGTCAACTTGCAATTTGACCTCTTTCCAAAAATTTGACCTGTTTCAGCCTCTTTTCCAGTATTTTTGTGCTTTTTTCCCTCAATTTTAGAGAGTGTCTTGCAATTTGACCATTTTGCAATTCAAATCTAGTTTTTCAATGGATTATGGTTCCATTGCATGGTACTAACTGTATCTTGATACAACCTCCAGAAGTAATTAACGCAGAAATTTATCTGAATTTTAAATTGAAATTTGCTTCAGCGATTTTTTAAAAATTGAAATTTGTCATGACTATGCACAAAACAATTTGATTCAAAAGTGCAATTGTGTCTGCTTCGAATGCATGATTAAACTAGCCCATGTGTGTGTCTGGCAAGAGTAGCAGCAGCAATTTACCTAATCGAGTGAGTCCTGTGGGTTTGCATGCATGGCAGAGCTACGAATTTCTTTTCATCAAACTGAAAGGGGCGAAAACTTCAGTCAATGCTAATTTTTTTTGCTCACTGTCGAAATTGACAACCACGCGGATTCTCCTTTACTAGCACCTCATTGCCCTCTATGCAAAATTTATTCTTTTCCTGCGCTATTTCATCGCAAGCTTTCGCACTCCGTTGGAAAGTGTTCCGTGAATACGTAAGAAGCTTCTATGGATCTTTTTTTTTTCCTCCTGTCAAATGCATATTTTTTTTTAGTCAGCTTTCTGAACTCGACTCGTGGAATTCGCATCCATTCATAAAAGAATGAGCGGTGTTCCAGACAAGCACCCATATCATACGTAAATGCTGTGCGAAAGTCAAATGAAGTATAGACAGACTTGGTGCAATTCCTGAATGCCCTTCGACATCCGGGGATTGTTCAGTTATGAGCGGGGTTTATTACCGGCCCA